GACCACACGGTTGAGATGCCACAATCAATGCTTTAGTAAAAGTACCTATTGTGGGGGAAACTTCTGAAGCAATTGGAGTCAGGACTCAGAGAGACACGAGGAGAGCTGGAGCTCTGATGGAGTCAGGACTCAGAGAGAGACACGAGGAGAGCTGGAGCTTTGATGGAGTCAGGACTCAGAGAGACACGAGGAGAGCTGGAGCTTTGATGGAGTCAGGACTCAGAGAGACACGAGGAGAGCTGGAGCTTTGATGGAGTCAGGACTCAGAGAGACACGAGGAGAGCTGGAGCTTTGATGGAGTCAGGACTCAGAGAGACACGAGGAGAGCTGGAGCTTTGATGGAGTCAGGACTCAGAGAGACACGAGGAGAGCTGGAGTTCTGATGGAGTCAGGACTCAGAGAGACACGAGGAGAGCTGGAGCTTTGATGGAGTCAGGACTCAGAGAGAGACGAGGAGAGCTGGAGCTTTGATGGAGTCAGGACTCAGAGAGACACGAGGAGAGCTGGAGCTTTGATGGAGTCAGGACTCAGAGAGACGAGGAGAGCTGGAGCTCTGATGGAGTCAGGACTCAGAGAGACACGAGGAGAGCTGGAGCTTTGATGGAGTCAGGACTCAGAGAGACACGAGGAGAGCTGGAGCTTTGATGGAGTCAGGACTCAGAGAGACACGAGGAGAGCTGGAGCTTTGATGGAGTCAGGACTCAGAGAGAGACGAGGAGAGCTGGAGCTTTGATGGCAAACACTGACGGTTTATTTGGAGCTTCAGCCGAAGAATTCACAAGACATGTCACGGGCCACGATCTGACCACACGGTTGAGATGCCACAATCAAATCTGAAGAACCCTCCTGTAGCTCCAGGTTTTAACTAGTTCAGAGTGTAATAATCAACATTCTTCAATAGATAGACTAAACAGCTGAGGACACTGAATCACATTTGTTGTCGCTTATGGCTCGGGGTCATGTACACCCCGAGAAGGATGTGTTCCAGGTGTCCCCACAACAATAACTATCTCTGACAGAGAGTTGCCCGGTCACAAGCTGGCAACAACAATGCGCCCAAGCTGCCCCTCCTTAAGAGAGATAGCAGCAATACTCAGGCCGTAGACCTGTGCCGTGGGAAAGGAGTCAGTGAAAAGAGAAAATGATGAACTGTGTCGACCATTGAATACCTACCTAAGCAAATGATCCCCCAACACCTATACATTATTGTCAAATTACTTTATTACAAGTAAAAGTCCTGCATTCAAAAAAGTACTATAATAAGTATTATCAGCTAAATGGTCTTGAAGTATAAAAAGTCAAAGCAATCATTGTGCAGGAAAATGTCCTTTAGATGTGTATATAATTATATTTATACATGTGACATTTCTAGATGATATCGTTGCATCACTTAGCATTTCACTGTTGTAGACAAACACAGTTCTGATTGACTTTGTGTCAAATGTTTTAATATCTTGAGTCTTTTGTGACTTTTTTGTTTATTTTACAATAATGAACAGAAGCAGACATCCTGGGTAAAAATAAATGCTTACTATGTTGTAGAAAATATGATGCATAATATACATACATACAAAACGTACTTGCACACACATCTATACAATCGTATACACATGTATCTCCTTAGATGCTCCAACAGTATGTGTAACATTATTTCCATTTTGAATGCCGTGTAGTCTCCTGAGCTCACAGACACTCAGCCGTGTCTCAGACAGGCCGTCTTGGAGGGATATTTTAAAGAACATCTGTCTCACACCGCTCAGTCTGAAGCTGCACAAGTGCGACTGTACTTTGACACGTGCTGGACTCTGTCTGTTTCTACCATCATCAGAAATAATTACACCTCATTTTCATTCCTTAGCATGTCATTATCTCATCAGATATTATTAAATGCTTCATTACTCTGTTTTTACGCCGACTTTGTTGTTTAACATCTGATACAGTGTGTTAGTAATAGGCAAGGCAAGGCAATTTCATTTATATAGCACTTTTCAGCACGTGGCGATTCAACGTGCTTTACAGATTCAAAGCAAACGACATTTAAGAACAAATACAGCACAAATACATTATTAAAAAGGCATTTAAAAACAGGCATAATAAGCAAAGGTAATGAAATAAATAAAATAAATAAACACAGCAGGTACAGAATACATGACTGAAAGGCATACTGTAGTGTGAGTATGGGCAGCTCAATTAAAAGCAGCGGCAAATAGGTGTGTTTTTAGTCGGGATTTAAAAATAGGAAGTGTTTCGGCGGACGTGCACGATTTGATAAAAGCTGCTTTTAGTGGTTATCCTCGGAACAGAGAGCAGACCCGACCCAGAAGACCTGAGACTCCTGGATGCTTCATAGTGATGGAGTAGGTCGTCTATATACCTCGGTCCTAAGCCATTTAGTGATTAAAACTAGCAGTAGTATTTTAAAATCAATTATTTGGCCGACTGGAAGCCGGTGTAATGATCTCAGAACCGGAGTGATGTGATCCACTTTTCTAGTGTCAGTGAGGACTCGAGCAGCGGCGTTCTGAATCAGCTGCAGCTTTCTGATAGAGTATTTAGTGAGCCCTGTGAATACACTATTGCAGTAGTCGAGTCTACTGAAAATAAAAGCATGGACAAGTTTTTCTAAATCCTGTTGCGACATTAGTTTTTCAATCCTTGATATATTCTTCAGGTGATAGTATGCAGACCTAATGACTGTTGTAATGTGACTGTTGAAACTCAGGTCTGAGTCCATCACTACACCCAGATTTCTTGCTTTGTGAGTTACTTTGTAGTCTGCCGACTGAAGCTCTGTGATTACTTTTAATCGGTCCTTCTTTGCTCCAAAAACAATTATCTCAGTTTTTTGTTTGTTTAATTGGAGAAAGTTCTGAGTCATCGTCAATGATGTGCTCAATGCACTTGCTCAGTGTTCTAATCGGAGAGTAGCCTCCCGGTGTAATTTTAAAATAAATCTGGGTATCGTCTGCATAGATGTGATAGCTTAGATCGCCCTTTTTAATAATTTCAGCCAGAGGTAGCATATAAATATTAAAAAGCAAAGGTCCTAAGATGGAGCCTTGAGGAACCCCGCATGACATATTTATCAGGGTTGATTTGTAATTGCCTGTTGAGACAAAGTTTGTTCTGTCCTTCAAGTAGGAGCTAAACCAGTTTAGAGCTGTTGCTGAAACTCCCACCCAGTTTTCAAGACGGTCTAACAATATGTTGTGGTCAACAGTATCAAAGGCAGCGCTGAGATCTAATAATACTAACACTGATATTCTGCCACTGTCTGTGTTCAAATGTTCACCTCAAGTGAAGTCTCAGTGCTGTGGTTAGGTCGAAAGCCCGACTGAAACACATCAAAACCGCCAGTTAAAAACATTAAATTACTATAGGAACCACACAACTTTTACTTTTCTGTAAAATGTGCCACAAACTTATGATTACTGATTGTATTAGTCTACATCCTCTTGAGGTCACAAGGTCACAGCACCATGTTCAGGTGGAAGATTTATTTTTGGTTGAATGCCATCGCCCATTAAATCTGTTTAAATCCCATGGCTGGATGCCAAAATGCAACAGAATTAGTTTTGAGTTTTATTATGACTATGCCATTACATAAAAGGCATTTTAGTTCTTTAAAAAGAGAGTGACCTCGAGTTGTTTTGTGTGATTTATACATCTACATATTTCCAAAGAGCACCTTAAACTAAACTTGTTCTGAGTGCAGAGAGTCCTCCTACCCAGACAATGTTTTAACTCCTGATTAGGTTGTTTTCTGAACCTTTTAAAGGCGTCACAGTCCTCCACCTGAGTGTCGTGCAACGTCCCTGCAACAGCTGGCAGCAGAAATCTCATCTATGTTCAGGGACATCGTTGAGTTAAATATCATATGGGATCAGATTTCCATTAATTTACTTATAGTAGATTTTCAAGGTCACTGCGGATGCACACAATTCAGACTCAACCTTCCAGAGACAGAAAACGTCATGACAGAAGCTGAAAGCAGCCGAGCTGAGAGAAATAGATTTGCCACATCTGGGTAGCTGTTAGACTTTAATGAGATAGATACACCTAAGTACCTTCAGTGTCTGGTGTCACCATTATAATAACCTTATTGTTATTCTTTAACATGCGGAAATGTATTTGGAGTGTGAACCCTCATTACACCATTATAATAACGGACATCGAGTGGTGCAAGGATGAGTTTTAAAACCCAGAAATGAGTCAGCATTTTACCACTTTTGGTTCCATGTCTCCCAAATCAACGGTTTTCTGAATTTGCTTTTGGTTAGATGCCTGAAATAGATCTGTGATTAACACAAGCTGAAGATATTAACGTTTTGTTCAACAACATAAAATACATCAGTAAATACCCCACTCAATATACAGTACGTCTTAAAAAAAATCAGTTGCTAACAAGTGTAAATGAGACTATTGAACGTCATCGCTCCGCACATTAGCCACCTTTAGCTTAGCTTTGGAAGTCATGTGATTGTGACTTTTATACTTCTGGTGATTTCGTTTTTAGCTTAAAAAGAGGTTTTAATATGTGGAGATTATCTTGCTGGACGTAACGTGCAAGTATCACAAAAACGTTTGTTTGGCACACATCTTATTTCTGCAATATTCCAAAATCCAATGAAAAAATTCCATTGCTTTTAGTCAAGGGACCCAGGGCAATTCTAACTGCTAATGCTAACTACAACATAAGTCGTCACTGCCACACTTTATTGGCTGTCCATTATGCAGGAGATATGTTTTTAAAATTTTAAATGTTCTTATATTTTGATTGAAGACACATAAGACATGTGGTACATTGATAGGAACCTGAGTTACAAATGTTCCACAGTTCAAAGCTACTAGTGTTCAGCAGTCTCTACTACTGTCCATCAGACTAAAGAAATGTTTTTAATATAACAACACTACTTTCCAACAACCTGGTGATGTTCTTCCTTTTTGTTTTGCTGTTTCTGGTAAATTAAAATGATTTCCTCCTCCCTCCTGTAACAGGTTGATACACGGGGGCCAGTTGCTGAATGGTTTGGCTGGCCCTACCATAATGAGCGCCGGCCCCTTCCTCTCCACCACATGGTTCGCCCCGGACCAGAGAGCCACAGCGACGGCCGTGGCCTCCCTCTTCTCCTACCTGGGGGGCGCTGCTTCCTTTATAATCGGACCTCTGGTGGTCCCGGCCCCCAACAACACCCAGACGTTCACCTCTACGGTATCAGTGGGTGACGAGAACTTCATCCGAGAAAGAATCCAGATGGTTATGTATGCAGGTACTAATGGAAAGCGAGAACTTCAGAGCAGTGGCGGTTCTAGACCAATTTTACTGGGGGGGCCAGTTATTTCATGAGGGGCACAATAAAAGCAGGTTAAAAAGACAAAGACAGTATAAAGTAATTGTGTAAAATAAACATAAAATACAGTCAATAGGCGCTTTCACACCAAGTACTTTGCCGTACTTAGTTCATGAGAACTTAGTTCATGAGAACTCTTTAGTTCTCATGAACTAAGTACAGATCGCGTTCACACCGGAATAAGTCCCTGAGGGAGGATTAGGCAAATGAAGCCGCTGACGTCACTTCTTCTTCTTCTGCTTTGGGTTTACTGGCAGGCCGCAAACAACTTCACGGCGTATACTGCCACCCGAAGTCCCCGGCCGGAAGTCCCCGGAGCTGGGGACTGGCTTCAGTAGAAGCTGCAGTTTTTTTCATTTAGAGTATTTGTTTTAGTAACTTTTTAATTAAAAAACATAAACAGTATTTGCTTTTATAAGGTAATGAACAGTTTAATCTCCACTGTACATTCGGGTCTCTGATTTGATTTAGTTCCAATAAATCGTAATATCGTAACCTTTTTTTTTGATGGGGGCCACAGGGGGGGTCCCTTGTCAGTGTTACAAGGGCACTGGCCCCTGCTGCCCCCCCTGTAGAACCGCCCCTGCTTCATAGGGCACGAAGGATCGATAGCACGTCATTTCTACATCATGTCAGCCCCGTCTAGGGACATAAAACATAAAAACAATCAGGCCGGGGGATCCAAAAATGTTGCACAAATGCCAAAAAAGCCCAATTACACTGTTCATAACCGCCCGCTGTAAAATTAGATCGCTGCGACTGTTATGCTTAACTGACTCAGAAAATTAAAAGCCCGCCGAAAGGAGAAACAAGCGCGTTGTAATAGATTGAGGCTGCAGCTTTTTGTTCAACCCAAGGTAGTATAATTATTAAGTTTCAAAAGGACAAAGCAGACACCCGTGTGTGCAACTAAAGTTTTAGAGGTCATCGAAAGAAAGATCAAAACGTCAGATTGATGTGAGGGAAAGAATAACCAATCAAAGTTTGAGAGGTTAAGAAATGGCAATGGAGCTTTTACAAAACAACCAAATAGTAAAAAAGTGTTATTAACCAGTGCTTGTCTAAGTTTCATGAGTCTTTTAGATGTAACAGTGACTATTTTAAAAGGTGAAATGAGTCTGACTGTCTTATATTTGTAATAACAAGAATGTATTTTATCTTTTGTCCCTGTTCTCCGGCAGAGTTAGCAGTGATTGCTTTGCTCTTCGTGGCCGTCCTGATTTATTTCCCGGCCCGTCCACCCGTCCCTCCCAGTGTGGCGGCTGCGAGCCAGAGACTCAGTTACAGGAGCAGCATCTGCAGACTTCTGAGGTACAACCACACACACACACACACACACACACACACACACACAACACACACACAACACACACACACACACACACACACACACACACACACACACACACACACACACACACACACACACACACACACACCTGGTGAAGGACACACAGCACACACACAGTTTTCACCTCTTTAAGACTCCAGGCTGAAAGAGTACCTAGATCCTATTTTGAGCCATTTTCTCACAACATTTCTTGATGTAAGGAAACATGCCACAAGACAACTCCTAAAATCCTTTTGTGTTTAAAGAGGACATATTATGCTAATTTTTCAGGTTTCATATTTGTATTTTGTGCCTCTACTATTTTGAGCCCTGTCTGCTCTGATTGGTTAGCTAGCCGACTCTGCTGTGATTGGGCAACCGCATAGAGATGTCCCGCCTCTTAGGCTATGTTACAGCAGTAAACAAAGGAGTCCAATGGTGGAATTTCAGGCAGGGGGGGAGTGTGTGGGAGAGAAACTCCCTCTGGAGGAAACTTTATGATTTTAGCCTTTGCAGACCATTTACATGCACAAAAACCCCAAAGCATAACAAGGCCTCTTCAAAAACCGTAGTCCACAAACCAATCATATACGTCACGGTGACTACCTCCTCTCTTTATACACAATCTATGGTTGGCACTATTATTTCCATACATTATTCAGTATGCCTTACTTGACGTGTCCATGATTACATTTGGGTTGTAGACGTGTGAAGCAAGTGAGGACTGCATTTGAAAATAATTCTCAGATGCTGTTTTGTTTTACGACCTTAGACTAAGGGAGCAGATTTGTCTTATTTGCTGAGGCATTGCGTGCTGCTTGTCTCTGAAAGTTGAAGTGACAGAGTCTTGCGCTGGAGAAGGATGAGGAATCTTAATGAAGGGGGTCTGCCACTCACCATCTGCTTGGGTTGTTATCAAAGAAACCCCAGCCTCTCCCTCTAGATTAATTACTAAGCTATAATACACTGGTTGCTTCTGAAATCAACATCATCTTCTGCATCGGGGTCAACCTTCAGTGTATTCTTAAAGCGGCACTCATGCATGCGGTTACAGAAAGAAAGTCTATGATGACAAGGTCTTAAATCCCACTAGGGATGCATTTATTGATGTTTCACAATCACCACCTTTGTTTATTTCCTCTCCGGGAAAGGCATAAGGGAAGAGCTTAGAGAGGAGGTAGAGACGGAGATTGAATCACTCTCCAGAGATACCCTGAAGACTGCAGCCTGTCACCAGGGGCGTCTATTTGTCAAAACAAGTTCACAACTAGAAGGCCTATTTTACTAGTGTGCCAAATAATAAAATATTAACCTGTGTTTCTTATCAAATATAGGCAGTGGCCTTTCTAGACCAATTCTTCTGGGGGGCTAGTTAAGGGGGACGCATTAAATGTGGGACAGAAAGACAATATTTAGGATGTCAACGCTTTTAGGTTAGTATAAAGTCCTAGTGCACAAAAGAACAACCTAAGAGACCATGATTTCATTATTGTGTCAGTAACTTAGTTAAAAAGTTATTAAAAACCAAACAAAACACATTTTTGTTGACTTCAGCTTAAAGCACACTGTCTGTTGAACACTATCACAATTGATTTAATCAGACCCTTCTTTCGGAGGGTGTTCAAAGGAGGATCCAAGTAAGTAAGTAAGTAACAGGGTTCTTACGGTCATTAAAAACCTGGAAAAGTCATGGAAATTCAAAATGCAAATTCCAGGCCCTGGAAAAGTTATGGAAAACAACATGTTTCAACTTTGGTTACATTTCCATGGACAAGTCATATAAATGTAACCGAAGTTGCATCAAATATCATTTATATTTGAGCTAATCGCCGAAATAGTAATACTATAATGATAATAATGAATACTGTATCGTATAGTAATGAAACGTAAAATGGCATTTAACTGTCGAGGTGTTTTGCTGGTGAGAGATGTTTACAATCACGCCCTCTAGTCTACAGTGGCTTTAGGAGCTAGTAAGCCTACTATTTGATTTGTTTTAGATAGGCACAACATGTTTCATATGCAGACCTTATTTTCCAGCTCACCATGTTAAAATAAAAATGTTTCAGTGGTACCGCTGAGAAAGAGTAATTTTTTTGGTCATGGAAAATTAGGTAAAGGTCCTGGAGAAGTCATTGAAAAGTCATTAAAAATCATTGGTGAAAAAGTGTATGAACCCTGAAGTAAGTAACATTTATTTATAAAGCGCTTTTCACAGACAAAGTGCTTGACAAAGCCTTAAAACATCATACGAATAAAGACGTGCTAAAAACACAATACATTGTGAAACACACAATAGAAACACAATATACAATAAGATAGAATAAAAGCACACAAGTTACCCAAACGCCTGCCCAAACAGGAATGTCTTTAAATGACATTTAAAAGAGTCTACAAGCCTAGTCCAAGACCTTGCGTAAGCCTACCTTATGCAATGAGAAGATTGTTCACATATCGCTCTTGTGTCTTCCCATAACACCGTTGAAACAAGCATCCCACATTTATTATCCATACTTTAGTCCTGGTTGCAGGTTTTTCTCAAGATAAATTACTTTGTAAGCTCGTCTTACCATTGTTTAGTTTTATATTTGTAGCTGCTCCACCGTTAGATGCTGACCCGTGTTGGAGCTAACATTCACGTCTCTTCTGTCCTTCTTCCACACTGCCACCACATTTATCCACATTATATAAATGAATCTGAATGTAGGGGACATCATAGGCTATTTCTTTTTTGTAATATATTTCCTATTGACGTTTGGCAGCAAACAATTACACAGTGTTTTTTCAAGACATAGCAATTGTACATCTTCAGTTTGTCTGTCCGAAATGCCTTAATACAATATAGTAAAAAGTACAAACAATACGAACATTAGGGAGTGATCCTAACCCTAACCCTAAAAATAAAATCTCGCCTACACAGTACATTTCTCTGAGTAAAATGTACTCAAATTGAAGAACATTTTACTCTAAAAATATTACATTTGGTCCCAACCTATATAGAGTAAAATGTACTCTTTGTTCAGAGTTGTATTTTTAGAGTTCATTTTACTCTATTATGTGCTTACATTTGACTCTGCTTAATGGTTATTTACTCTATGTAGTGTATATTAAAACAACTCTACTGCCATTTTACTCATAATAGAAGGTCATTTTACTCCCAATCGAATGTCATTTTACTCCACATAGAAGGTAATTTTACTCAGAATAGAATACATGAGCCATAATGATCTTTATATTAAAAAAGGTCAATAAACCAAAGTGCTTAAGGAACATGAGTGGGCTTGTGTGAAGCTGACAATTGAGCGGCCCGACGACCAAGCAAGGAGGCAGAGGCAGAGAGTTCAAATACAACCCGGTGTGGGCATTTATTCATCGCTGTGGTTCATGATACAAAGCCTCAATATGACTGTCTCACGTGAACACAGTCACTCACCAGCAACAAGGACCTCACACACACTAACAGGAAAACAGAACCTAAATACACACAGGACTAATCAAACCAACAAGACACAGGTGAGGAGGGAGGAGAAACACAGGGCACCAGGTGAACACAATCACCAGCAACAGACAAGACGGGAGGGGGAACACTTTTCAAACTACAACAGGAAACAGAGACAGACCGTGACAAATAGATGCATAAATGACATAGATTCACATGCTTCCTGTGCAATGTTTTAGCGTGGAACAAAGTAATATACTTCGCCAATAATGAAGCTATATAATCCGTAACGGAGACCGAGATCTACGGCTCCAGAGATCACCTCCGTTACAGCGGGTCATGGTTTAACTCCAATAGAATTTACTCTGCATTTTTGATCGCACTCTAGAAGCTATGAGTAATAAATACACTCCAAAATGATTAAATATCACTATTTCAGAGCAAAATAGTAATTACTCTGGAAAAAATACTCACCAATATTTCCTGTGTATGAGGTTTTACGAAATCAGTCCACTTTCTCCATCGTATCATTGGCTATTTCAAAGAGTGATGGGCACATGTCCCCACTGTAATTGCCCTTCACTCGTTCCACCAGGGCAGTCTTGGTCCAGCAGCCACTGTTTGCCTTGCTTGTGGAGGAATGTTGCCTATGGCAGTGGCCGCAGATTAAAGGGGAAGGACACTCTGGGTGAGGGTAGCCGGGGAGTTGGCCTTGTTGGCTACACTCGGTCCCCTGCAGAATGAAATATCTTCACTGCAGTGCCATGCGGTCCACAGTCCTCTGAGCAGCGCAGTGAGGCTTAACTCCCTGTAAGAGCTCCCTTGGAGAGATGACAGGAACCGGGCTGATAGCAACCCAATGCATGGTTCTGGACAGATGTACACGCACACACACACACACCACACACTACACACACACACACCACACACACACACCACACACACACACACACACACACACACACACACACACACACACACACACACACACCACACACACACACAACACACACACACACACACACACACACACACACACACACACACACACAGACCGGCCAACTTAACTAGGCCATGCAGCTGGGAGGGTTTCTGTTCCACCAGTGATAGGCAGCTTTCCAGTGAGGCTGTATCTCAATCCAGCAGCATCTAGACTTATAGATATCCTGCAGGGACGGAGCAAACAGAAAACTGATTTCCGAGTCTAATGTTTCCATATGCACTCATGCAGGTAGCAGACAAACCCTTTAGAAACAAAGGAATACAACTTTAAAGAGCCATGCATTTATATTTAATACTGAAAGATTGAATGGCTCGGTTAAAGGGGCCCCATTATGCTAATGTTCAGGTGTATATCAGTATGTAGTGTCTCTACTTTAAAGAGTCCTCTCCTGCTGATGTTCAGGTGTATATCAGTGTGTAGTGTCTCTACTTTAAAGAGTCCTCTCCTGCTAATGTTCAGGTGTATATCAGTATGTAGTGTCTCTACTTTAAAGAGTCCTCTCCTGCTGATTTTCAGGTGTATATCAGTATGTAGTGTCT